TTCATCAACCTTACAAAAGAGGACTGAGAGGCAACGAACAACTGAGCAGTATGTCATGGTGAGGCTTTTCAGACTAGCTTTCAAAAAACAAACATGCACAGCAGCATAGAAATCGAGCACACAATGGTATTTTGTTACATTTGCAGAAGAGAGTATTTTTCTTCCTTTTTACTTTACTGATACACAAATTCGCACCTTGTTTCCAGGACACTAAGTAGCTGTACATGTCTAATTCACTACACAATAGTAGGTACATAGTGCAGACAGTCAAAAAATGTGATCTGATGCTATTCCTGCTAGAAACTTAAAACAAGTATCTGCTAGGAAATACTGAGGAGATAATATCCAACTTCAGTTTCAACTATAGTATGTTCTTAACATCCTAGGTTCCAACTGAATAGAATGTCTGTTGTGTGCTAACATATTCACATACTTTCCAAAAAGTAATCAAAACAAGCAGAGTACTGGCACTCTAATGGCCACAAAGGACACTGCTGTGACTTCCTTTAGAACCCTGAATGAATTAAGTCATAAATAGCTCACCTTGAACAGTACTCAACAAGTTTTTGTAAAATTTTCGGTATTTCACATTTCAGCCCAGACTGCATTGAGTTTCGTGTGTGTGTATGTGTGTGTGTGTGTGTGTGTGTGTGTCAGGTTTTCTCTGATGTCAAACAAGCAGTGTCTGAGCACGTATTTTGGAAGGGCTCATTGTGTGAATATGTAGATTAATTCATTCTGCAAATGTCAAGTTTTGACTTTTAAGGACTCTTATTTGAGAAGGCATTAACTTACTGTCCCTAGCACATAATTATAGCAGTACACGACTATTTTAAAGAAGTTCTAAGCACCTGAGTATGTAATGATAGCACTCCATGTGAAGAATTTGCTCAAATTTTGGGACTTGGTTAAGGGAAAGGGAAGAACACAGGACAAAGCTGTTACTTCTCTCAGTTTATATTCCCCAACTTTAGTCACTAGGAGGTGAGGGACATTAGAGTGGAAACTCAACAATGGGAAGTTGTGTGAAAGGACAGGACTATCACAACCAAACCTATTAAAATGTAAAAATCTGTAAAACCAAATAAAAAACCAGCCATTACTGGTGAAACATAAATCACTATGATACAATATAACACAATGCCTGAACTTGTATCTCCTCAAAACAACACAGGGCTTGAAAATGCTGCTTACATGAAGTAAACCCTTTGAATACTGGGGCCTTAACCCCTCTGATTTTAAAAGTTAAAATGACAACACTTAGATTCTCATTAAATGGTGTTTATTAGCAAAAAGTAACACATAAGGGTAACGAATAAAAAGCATCTAAAGTGGAGAGTACAGAGTAGAAAAGAAGGAATACTGCTCCTGGACGTTTCTGTTCCTTCTCCATTGAGCACTGGTAACGAGGAACCATTACTAAACATCTCACCACATAGTGACATGCACACATTTTGGAACTCTGTCACTTTTGCCCAATGTTCTGCTATGGTCTGACTGTCCCCTCCAAACTCAGGCTGGAATTTGTTACTGGAACAGTACTAGTAAGGGGGATCTTTAAAGAAGGGCTTCAGACTATGGCATGCCATGGTATGGTAACAAAAGACCCCATCCTCCACAGCTGCTTTCTGTGATGAAACAGCAAGAAGGCCCTTGCCAAGTAAGTGTTGGCCCCCCACACTGTGCTTTCAGGACTCCGGAACTGTGAGGCAGTCATTTGGTTTGATATGAATTACCCAGTCTGTGCATCCCATCATAGCAGTCCACTGTCAAATAAGGCATGTCCCTCAGTAAATTTTCAAAGTTTTTTATTCCAGATTTTCAAAAGGTAGCCTCACCCGCTTCTTTCAATATCCATCCACAAAACTGTATGTTTGTGGATGTCAAAAGAGGCCAGAAGAGGGCATCAGTTCCCCTGGAGAACCAAGGCATAAGAGTTCCAGTTGGTTGTGAGCAGCAAACATGGTTGGTCCAAACTCTGGTCCTCTAGAAGAACAGCAAGTGATAGCCACTTATCTTTCCAGACCTCCACATCCATTTCTAATCAGTGCACATCTGATTACTATGAATTGCACTATCTTTTTTTGTAAAACAAAATTGAGCTTAATAAACATAGTAGCTTAGTCAGCAACAGTCCATTTTACATTTATTAACTACAGACTGCAGATATAATTAGCTGCATGACACTGACTATCCTAATTTAGTGCAGGCAAAAATTAAGGATTTTCTATTTGAAGTAAGAAATAATTAATACATTTACTTTTTCAGGTTGGAGTTTAGATGTAGGGCCAAGGTGATTTTGAATGTACTCTTAAAGTGAGGATAACAATCCTGCACCATTTCTCTCTTCCAAAAGGTCGTTTGTCTGTTAGTCTGTGTATTACTTCAAAATCAACAGACTTGAATAATTTATAAACAATACAAATTAATGATTTTAGTTCTGGATGCTGGAAAACGCAGCAGCTTCTCTGATGTTTGCCCATTTCTGCTCCAAAGGCAGTACTTGTTCCCAGCTCTTCCAAGGGAAGAGACTTACTCCCCACACAGTAGAGGATTAGAAGCGTTCGAGGCCCAAAGCAGTCTCCTCCAGCCACATTCCAGGGCATGCACCCACTGACAGGCAGCTTCTTTCATGAAGAATCACGTCTAAAAGGCCCCACAACCTTAATACCACCCACAGCTAATTGTATCTAACCACTCATATTGGAAGAACAGTAAAACCTTTTTTTTGGGTTCCACTCCAAAGATGAAGATTACAAAACTCTTCAAGAAATAATCCTCAGATGCCAATCCATACTGAAATGCTAAAGGTATAGAATTTGTAGCTAGTTTTTCTCACTGATACAACCTCACCTCCACGCTACCCAAAGTAGCTCACTCAAGTTCAAGTGCATTGTCAAGAAAGCTATAGTAATGTTTTGTCCTGAAATACTTGCAGATTAAGATTAAATTCTGTGCCAGACTAGTATGCACTCTTAACTGCTGAGCCATCTCTCCAGCCCAAATACAATCTATCAACCAGAAACACTCTACAAACCAGACATACATACTACCAACTATAAAGACCATTCCTAAAAGCAATCTTCAGAGAATGATGAAGAAACTCCAGCGTAATAAAGTTGACATATATACTTTCACAGAAACTAAGAAATCAAGTTTCATGCCAAGGCAGAGCTCTGCAGCTGTCTCAGTCTATAGGGAGTAAAGTGGGACCTTGATGCAAACAGCTGACAAGCTTGGAATGAGTGATCTGCAAATCCCCCATGTGCTGCACAAAGAGTATTGTCGGGGGATGAAGGATCAGGAAGCACCAACTGAGTAGAAAGTACTGAGAAAGAAGAAACCTGGATTCAGTTCTTTGCCACTGTAACAGGTAAGCGGCCTCTGTTAAATTAGAGCCTCTACTGAGCACACAGGCCTCTCAATAAATGGGAGTGGAGAGACTTTGCTGAAAGCCTACTCAAGATCTCAAATTCCAAACGCCTTTTTTTTTTTTTTTTTTGGTTTTTCAAGACAGGGTTTCTCTGTGTAGTTTTGTGCCTTTCCTGGATCTTGCTCTGTAGACCAGGCTGGCCTTGAACTCACAAAGATCTGCCTGCTTCTGCCTCCCGAGTGCTGGGATTAAAGGTGTGCACCACCACTACCCGGCTTTTTCATTTCTTTTTCTTTCCTCCAGTTTTTCGAGACAGGGTTTCTCTCTGTAGCTTTGCGCCTTTGCTGGAACTCATTCTGTAGCCCAGGCTGGCCTCAAACTCAGAGATCTACCTGGCTCTGCTATATTCAAGACCTCCTCCCTCCTTCAATAAACGGCATTTGGCATTAAAAAACAAAACAACAAAAACAAAAACAAAACAGGGCTGGAGAGATGGCTCAGAGGTTAAAAGCACTGACTGCTCTTCCAGAGTTTCTGAGTTGAATTCCCAGTACCCACATGGTGGCTCACAACCAACTGTAATGAGATCTGGCGCCCTCCTCTGTGTACATAATAAATAAATAAAATCTTAAAAAAAAACAAAAAAGGATCCCAAATTCCTTGATTATTCTTACCGTTTACACCAATGCTGGAAAACAACACTCATTTAGTTAAAAACTGTAAATTCATTTGGTCATTCAATATGCATTAGACATGTCACCCATGACAGATACTGGAGAGACCAGGAAGACACACACATATATACCCCACACATCTTAATGTTCAAGTAACTCAACAGTAAAGCTTTTTACATATGTGTAAGTAATGAAGACCTACAGAGCCAATGTGTTTGTCAACACAGGGTTAATACTAACCAGCTAGTTAAAGCTTCTGCCTATAGTGTCTTCCTCCTTCACACTTGTAACTTGCTTAAAGAAATTAAGTTTAAAAAATTCTTACACTCTAATTCCAAAAGTGTCAAGTTTATAAAAAATACTTTATTTTAAAGACTCTTAGTAGGACTTCAACATCTATCTTTAAGATTATATACTACAAAGACAATCAGTGTTCGGCATATTATAGAGGCGTATTTAACAGCCACAACAAAATCTGCTCCATAACCACTACTCTGCATGTTGTTTACTGGATGGGGGTAGTGGAGGACATGATTCAACATTGTACTTAAATATTACATAAATTAAATTTTTCTCCAAGAATGAGATTAACTGTCCCTATGAATACTATCTCATAAACGTTACAAATATATATGAACTTACAACTGAGTTATTTAAAATATATATGGGCCGGGCGGTGGTGGCGCACGCCTTTAATCCCAGCACTTGGGAGGCAGAGCCAGGCGGATCTCTGTGAGTTCGAGGCCAGCCTGGTCTACCAAGTGAG